AATGTACACTACTGTGATGCTGTATAACTCATGTACAGTGTCAGGATACTGTATAACTCAATGTACAGATTCAGGATACTGTATAACTCAATGTACAGATTCAGGATGCTGTATAACTCAATGTACAGTACCAGGATGCTGTATAACTCAATGTACAGATTCAGGATACTGTATAACTCAATGTACAGTACCAGGATGCTGTATAACTCAATGTACATTACCAGGATGCTGTTTAACTCAATGTACAGTACCAGGATGCTGTATAACTCAATGTACAGTACCAGGATGCTGTATAACTCAATGTACAGTACCAGGATACTGTATAACTCAATGTACAGTACCAGGATGCTGTATAACTCAATGTACATTACCCTGGTGCCTTATAAATCCTTGTATGGTTGAATAGATCTTCAAACTTTTTATTAATTACAAGTGTTACAGCTACCTGTTGAAATGGATATATGATAATGATTATGCCCTGTGCCAAAGTGATGTGATTGAGGTGCTGTATCACATACATCAAACAGTCACCAAAATATGTTATTGTGATATAACTAAATACAGAATTACATGTTATCTCAAAGAGTGATTTGTTGTTCTGCTAGACACATTTACGGAATGGTTTTCATTTTCTTAATTAAGCGATTCTTTATTGTATATTAACAAATTATACAATAGTTGGCATTGTTTCAAGATGTTAGCACTCAAGGAATTCCTGTATCCTTTAATAAACAATTTTTTTTGGCTTCAATTTGAATCAATCATAAACCACAATGCCAAGTTCAATTCAATTGGATGCTATTAATTTTAATCAAGATTTTGTTTATAGTAACAGGTCTGTGCCTATTACCTCTCCTTGCTACATTATAAAGTCTTGGTAAATATTATCAATTACAGACCAAAATATTGAAACAATAAAATGTTTGGATTTGATGATGAATATATCTTGGTAAATGTATAAATCTGTCGCCGTGGCTGTTTGTGTATGAATTCCACCACAATAGAAGCCAGATTATGACTGGCAGTTTCTGACGGAAATGTTGAAACAATCTAATAGATAAAATGCATTGTGAAAGTTAGTGATTATCTTTAATAACGTTATCCCCACATCTTATCATGAAGGGGGAGGGACTAATCTTTTGCACTGTCTTTAGTCGGAGTTTTATTACATTTGATAATAATTACAGACGAGTTAGGGGAGGTATCGCAGAGTTAGGAGGTGAGTCTAACAGGCCGAAACCATTGTCAGATTTTCCTTGTTAAACCCGCTATATCAGTGGCCATTTTGTTTGTTGGTGCTCCCAATCATTCTTATCGGCCCATTAATAACTGGGCCGTCTTTGTAGTGCAGTTACACTAATGTTGGTGTGATTACCTACTCCTTTAAAGTAAATTGGCTTCAGACCCTCGCTTATTTTCATCAACAGAACAACGTTTATGTTGTGATAGAAATGAACATCATTATAAAGTCCGTAGGAGAGGAATGTATTATTAATCATGATAGAATTTCTATTTTCTTCGTCAGCGTTGTCTTTTTTTTTAAAACTCCCGTTCATGTCGCTGTGTTTTTCCTTTGCTATTTAGTTGTCTTATTTATAATGACTCATAGTCTCCATTCTTTGGCAAAAGAAACATTTCCTGTAATTTTTTTATTGCAAATGCTTTTTTTGGATTGTTATTTTGTTAAGTTATCTTGTGAAAAGGAGCTTGGACCAGCTGAATTTAATAAAGTGTTAGGAAGCTTGATAATGTGACAATTCATCATTGTGTTGCGTACAGGCCAGCATCCTGTTGGAGCTGCCGAGTTTTTAGAAAAAGCACTTAAATAGTTCTGAAATGTTCAAGAGTTGTTTATTTTACTTGTTAGAACCTTAGCACGTCAGCTGAGGGTGTTGTATCATTTCAAACTTTTATGCTCAAAGATTTTCGGCTTTTAAACATTCTAAAATCAGGTCAAGGTTGTACTTAAATAAATTGCTACAACTTTTTCACTTCATTTTAAAAGTGCTTCCAGAAGAGCAATAAAGTGCAATAGTAGTGGAGAATCTAGTCGACATGGAAACATAATGGAACAAGATGGAGTCCCGTCAGAACGCTTTACACTGGTAACGGAACAGCTCCGAATATCTATGTCTAATTGCATCGTTTAATTGGTCCGATTTAAAAGGATAGTGATGGTTTTGTTTATTTGTTCAATTCGTTAGGATTGTACAAAAGAATGTTAAATTTTCTTAACAAGTTGTATAACATGTTCATAGGGATTATATGGTGCAGTGGAGTTTTAATCATGAGTTATGCATGTAAATTATTTGTTTTTTCAGTTTTGAAAATAGATTTGCTGTCCATAAAAAAAAAAAAACAGAAAACCGCCAAACCTTGGTTCTGATAGGGGAAACTTGATGATATTATTATACTTTGTGTATATACTCGGTACCTTTACTATGTCATCGTGAAATCATAATTTATGTGACATTTCAGAATTCCAAACAAATTACTCAGGCATATTTTGGGCACAGAAATGAAGCATTTTGAATCTTTTTGGTGGAAGAATGAAACTGCTTAATGAAAACATGGCTGTCTTCTAAAAAAAAAAAAGAAAGAAAGAAAATTCTGGGTTAGCTTCAACCAATATCAAAATTATCCCACAAAAGAATATGCTAAATACTGAAGGAATTTTGTTAGGGGTTAACAGTGACGTAACGTTGCCTGTTCTCCCATACCCAGGACAGCAGCTGCCGTGAACTAAACCCTCCAACAGTCTTTTGTTTTTGAGATGAGGTGTTTTTATTAGCCTCGTTTGTGAAGTTCCTGAAATGAATATTACCTTGTGTGACCGAAACAATCTGCGATTTCTGGTTTTAATAATACTCCCGTTGCCTCTCGGCTTTCCCTCACTATTTTGATATTGTGGCGTTCCTTAGGAGACTGGTGTTTTTATTTAATGAGCCATTAATGTGAGGAGCGGGGGATTAGTTTTGATGTGTGTATGGGAGAGAGAATAAGTAAATTAACTATCCAGTGTCACCATTGGGAAGGAAGTGCTTAATCGCGAGGGATATGTTTCTCTATAGCTGACCTAAACCATCTGTTGGGGACCAAAAACAATGTATTGTTTCCTGTGCTCTTTGCCACTGGTTTGATAAATAAGCAATCGAGGTTTAAAGGAGATATTTTCCAGCCCTTCCAAGACAAATGATACATGAAATATGTTCTAAGTGATCTATTTACAGACTTCCTTTTTTATGTGTTTTTTGAAACTTCGTTTTATTGTCTGTCCATCTGTTATAGATTCATTTCAAACCAAAAGACAGAAGGAACATTATAATAATATTAGATTGTTTTTAGTTTTGTGAATTTTTAAGACTTGGATCATTACCGAAGTAGTAAGTGAACTGATAATATTCTTGCAACTCTAAAACAAAGTAACGAGATAAATTTCACCCCTTTTTGGTTTTTTTTTTGTTGTTGTTTTTTTTTTCAAAATTATGCAATCAAATTTATTTGATTCAGCTACAACAGGTTGGACCAAATGTGGTTTAAGGAAAGATGGGGTTTTTCTGGTAAAGTTACATCCAGAAAACAGTTATGACATCAAAGACTAATTAGAAATAATTAGAAATAATGATTTTTGGAAAAGATTAAGAAGTGCTTGAAGGCTAGAAATAAGTACTGGTATTCAATGTTAAAAGGGGCACATCGTCCCTCTACTGTTACAGTTGTGATTTCCAGGAGTCTTCCATTCCTAATTCTGATATTCAAAGAATGAAAAGCTCCAAATGATCCTATTTTAAATATTTACAAACAGAAGTGATGGATATACTTTGACCCCTGTTTAGAAGCTGGGTAATGATACAGTGGTATTCTTTATGTTGTGTGATAGGCTTGAACGAGACAGCTGTGGGCGGGCTCTAGTATTGATCTGATCTGTGTCACAGAAGACAGGGTTATGTCCCTTGTCTCTATCAATACATGTGTACTGTGATGCTACACTGATTGAGAGGACATCTCTGCTTTTATAGCATATTTACAAATTATTTGTTTCAATCTTTTTCTGTTTAAAATATTTAAGTGATGTGGACTTTTAGATATACTAAAATTCGAATTTGAAAATCTATATATATTGTATTTTTAAGTTGAGAATTTATGTTTTTTTCTCTGAAAATAAACAAATAAAGTTTGAATAGTCTTTTTAAAATTCTTCATGGTCTAGATAAACAGACAGGTTTTCAAATTGTAAACCATCAAAATTTGATGTCAACATGGACTTACCTTTTATATATAAGTTCATTGTATATACATTCACTCACAAATGCAAATCAGTTTATTTTCAATTCTTAAGAAATTAATCTATTTAAAGAATGACATGCTTGGTTAGATAATAAAAGTTAGATATTTATAGTAAGTTACAACATGCTTAGTAATAAAAATGTCATATTCATAAATTGAAAAATGTTACATTTGTTCATGTAACGATACACTATTATACTTACAGTTTAAACAAATGCTCAACAAAAAATTTAAATAACGATTGGTTTAAACATAATGAAAAAAAATGAAGTGTTTGAAGCAAATATTGAGATAAAGAGCAATGTGGTGGTATAATTGACAAAGTAACAAGTTTAGAGATCATTCTTTATACTGTACAGGAATTTGATAAATATGTAGTTTGTTTAAAGTATTTCCCCTCATTAATTCTTCTAAATGTATACCTCCCATCTGTACCTCTAGTTTTTCTTTAGAACTATATATCATAGTAGGTTTGTTGACAAAATGTGGTGTCGGACAGGTGCCCCAGAGAGGCCCCCTGGTATAGCTCCTGTTGATGGTGAGAAAGACAGCATTGTACTACAGCAGTAGTTGCTCCTCTCAGCATCCCTGTCCATCAGTCAGCACACTAGCCAGAAGGCCCCTGATTGGCTGCCTGCCCAAAGGAGGGGGCTCTCAGTGGCCTAGTGTGTCTACTACAATATGGGGCCTAGCTTTTGTTGTGTACATACCTACTGTTGTGACTTCTGTGTGAGGTGTATCGTACAGACAGGTCAGCATGCACCCAGTACTGATCCAGCCTCTAAGGTAGGATATATTTACATGGAGGGGGCTACACACCTGTCAGGTAGGGCTAATTACAGGTACACTACTCACCTGTTACATCTACAGGTACACTTGACACACCTGTGTAATGAAGAGGCCAGGCATAAATGATGCTGTAGGTTCTGTTGATCATAAAAGTTTTGTTTACATAGTCTGATGTGGAGAAATGTTTCTCAACAGTAGGATATGTGGAGCAAGTGTTGAGGAATTCTACAGGTCATCGTCGCTAACACATGTAATGCTGGTGTCACTTGTGCACGTGTATCAATATTATATTCTATGATTACCAGCCATAAATAATGTAAGATAGGTATGATTTGTAATTTCTTTCTGATCCGTATCATTAATTTCGTTGATTATGTAAGAAATTAAGTTTCTAATACATTTTGTAACTGCAAATTTTGTCCCATATTTTGTAAACAATTTATATCACATTGAGACATAATTGTAATACAGTTTCAATTAGTTGAGGTTATACTAAAAAATTCTTGACAATTGTAATATTTGATATTGCACTTATTTTATTTTATGATTCAATGAGTAACTTACGAATGATTTGGACTACAATCATTTGTATTTATGGGATCTCAAAAGTTGGTCCACAATTTATGTAGATGACTGATCTATTTTTCTAACTTAAAAAAAAAATCAATATTTTGCTAAATTAATTACCATGAGGAAAGAAACTGCATAGAAATGCATTAAAATGTATTATTCAGTACTTTTTAAATTAATGTAGAGTTAGATCAGATGATAAAAGGAGTGTGAAATTGTGATACCATAACATATAACATTAAGATATTTTTTATTCATTATAAAAAGATACGAAAAAAAATTTAACTTCCTGGATATTCTGGAATAATGGAGAAATAAAAAACACACTTAAATTTATTTCGGTATTGATTAAATTTTAATTTTACTGTATAATTAAATTGCTAAAGGGAATTGTTGAACAATATGTGAAGACATAAAAATGTTTGTCATGAATTAATTTTAATGTTGATATATATGTGAATCTGCACTTAGTATTTGAAATATTAGAATAGGTGATTCAGATACATCATTCCTGTGTTATCAGAATATCAAAGATAAGTATAGATTCTCAGTGTAGCTGGTTACTGAAATTCTGTTTATACTACAACATAAATCATTCAAATGGTAAACCAGATAATCACCAAACTGATAGACATTTGATAAAAATAAGTAAAAAGACGATGAAACCAAGAAAAGTTTATTTTGTTTTTAGAAAATTTCAGTGGGAACAAACGATGAATTTTCACATGTAAAATATTGCATATAAATGGATATTAACTTTCACTGTTGTTTCATGACATATTTCATTTTAAAGTTCAACATAAAATTAGTTTTAAGAGGAAGGAGAAAAAAAATATTTTAAGGAAAAAGAAAACCTTTTGTGTGGTATACATTATGCTTGGGTCCTCATCACTGTCAGAGTTATCTTTGGTGAAATGAAGCAGAGCATATAATGTGTCATACACTTTGGCATATGATATTTGAGTCCAGTCTTCATAATGCTTTCTGACAGGCCTTTTAACTTGGAACTATTTTTTTCTTGTAGAGAAGTACAATAATTCAAAATTATCTTAAGAGTTTGAAACAAAGCAGCTTTGGGGGTAGGTCCATATGTTCTAGCGTTATGACACAGAATTGACAAACGGCCATGATCAACTGTTCTATTATCTTAACTTGGGAACAAAAATCAGATTGAAGGGAAATTTACACAATTCTGGGGGGTTTTGTTTTAGATTTATCATGATAAAAGAACAAAACTTAACAGATTGTTTGGTTAGAATATACTTTATTTCTAACACATGTGCCCCTTAATCTTTTTCACTGCCATATCAGTACCTGGCAGCTTCAACAGTTTGGTTTTTATTAATTCTACACTGTGATAAGGATCAAATTCACCTATTCAAACCATTTGCTTTTTCTTCCTTTCTCTTTAAATCAGAACTATAAAAAAGGCAAACAAACACTACACATGAATGAAATTTAAGTAGAGTATCTGGGGGAAAAGAATGGGGGCTAAAAAGTATGAAAAGGGTTCATTTGAAATTTCTGAGAATGGAAATCCTTAGAAATTTCTCATTATGATTTTCTGAGCTTTGTTTTCAGAAAATAATTGAAGTTATGATTTGTGAGAGTTCTGGAAATATCAATCAAATACTGATGTACATTAAATGATGCATGTCTTTTAAGTGTTGTAAGCGTCCATGACACGATAGTGTGTACTTGGTGTTAACAAGTACCTTCCCTATCCTGAGGTTTTGTTTGTTCTTTTTTCCAGAAATATTGCCTAAATACTTCCTCTAAAAATCCTATCTTCTGTGTAAATAAGCATTAACACAGCCAGATAACATGGAAGCTGACTGTATTGGCAGATCTGTCTGTCTTTAGTCCAGAGAAGTGTCCAATACTGATAATAGGCTTAGAAAGAACCACAGAATTCCAATATCATGTTACAAATTATGTAACTTATCCCAGAATACTTCAAAATTGGGTCATACTAACCTAGCTAGCCTGAAATTAGGTCATATTGAACCCTGTTAACTCTAAATTATTGTATTGGTCTTTGTCCTGGTCAAGCTTTTCATTCTTGGCCATTCACACTAACTGATTTTGGTAAATTTTATTATCAATGTAATGATAGTTGCTTGGGCCTAGCTGATCTCCCGAGGGCAGGTCACAGGATACCATTTTAGTGGAATTAGATATTTGTATGGGAATCATTCATGGTACCTTGATAATGGTAAGAAATTATCAGATTCTGATTTTGAACATCAGACTTTCAACGATACAAAAGAAAAATACATTGAAATTTTTAATTTTGAAATGCATATATAAATGAATATATAAGTGTTCACATTTACATTTACTTATGTATAGATAAAATAAAAAAAAAAAGAATATTTTCAAAATCTGTATTAATATGTTGATTACTTTGATTGTAAATTACAAAATGTAATATCATCAACATATATTATTTCCTGATACAGGGAAAAATATGAAATCAATACAAAAATTTTAACAAAGAAATAAGCATGAATTTATGTGTCATTTAGATTACAATACAGGTGACATTCAAGGCAAGATATATGGTAATTAGATGTATTAATTACCTACTGATAGTTCTAATGTTTAAAAAAAAAATAGTGTCATAGCAGATGTTTTTTACACAATGAACAAAATTATTCCTCCAAAGTCATTCTAATGTCTGAAAAAAATAGTGTCATATCAGATGTTTTTACACAATGAACAAAAATATTCCTCCAAAGTCATTCTAATGTCTTAAAAAAATAGATAGGGTGTCATATCAGATGTTTTTTACACAATGAACAAAAATATTCCTCGAAAGTCACTCTTATGTTTAAAAAAACTACATAAAAATAGATAGGGTGTCATATCAGATGTTTTTTAGACCATGTACAAAAATATTCCTCGAAAGTCATTCACGAATTGAAAGGTCATATAATTATCTATGACATCAGAATTTGTGGTTTGTTTTTATTGTAAGGCTGTGCCGTGTGACAGAACAAGGATTGTCCCTATATAGCTGATCATTGTCTCCCTAATACAGAGTAACAAATCAATTATATTACTCTATCTCAATGTGTAATTATGGGAGGTTTTTCGTATTATATAAAAACAGTAATTGTCAGATGAGGTCTGTATGTGGTTAGAGAAATGTCACTATTCTCGGTAGGAAACGGCAGCAATCATTTTTTTTAGTTTCGTCTCCAATAACAGCACCGAGGTCTTTTGTGCAAAATGGTAATTTTTTGTGTTTCTATGTCAGATAAACACCACTTGCACTTTTTGAAAAGCGGCAGTTTAATTTGAAATACACAACAACATTGCTGTGATTAGAAGTGAGCTGGTTGTCCATTAGAGATACAGGCTGAGCTTAAATCTGCCGAGGCTGAACACAGCAATCAATTAGAATAGCTCCCGCATTAGATGTTCCAATTTGACAAAGAATAAAAAATCAATTAGAGAGACAGGTGGAATTATGGAGCTATTGTAGCAGACAGGATATTGTGTGAACAATACTGCGATGATACTAAGTAGGCAGAAATGAACTAATTTACTGATCAATATTACATTTAATTACAACTTTGTACAGTTGTCCTCGCCTGGTCAGATCAATTAATCAGATGTACTGGGGGTTGAGAAGGAGATGGAGCGACAGTCAGTACTTCTCAGCTAGTCCGATATCCATCATATATCCCACTTTGACATGCGATCCGCCAACAATCGTAATTATCCCGACTTTAAACGCGTTTGTGACAATAGATTAGAACACAACTGCCTACCCTAGTTAACAGTGAAGGATAGGGTCGGAATAAATTCAATGTCGGCTTCAATCTCACCCCTGTAATAAAATGTTGTTATACAAATAGCAAACACGAAGTTTCATTTGAAAATTGATTTTTGAAAATATCAATTGAGACTGTTTTCCATTTGTATTAAGGAAGCATGTAAGCTCCAGGGACAATTAACCAAGAAAGGTACGTTGATTCATTGACAAACAGGTTACATAGAAAAGGCAGGAGGAAGCTGCTTCAGTCACTAGAGTTAATATAAAAAGCATAAAAAAAAAGGACATGAATTGTTACTATCAACGTTGTAATAGGCAGAAAGTAAAGATAAGAGATTTAGGTACAAAGAGATCCCAAAGTCTGCAGTCGTACAAAACCATCTATTGAAAGTGAGGAGAGTTTTGAGTTTGGTTGTTGGGAGGATCGCCATTGACTTCAATACTGGGGTACGTCAGGTCAAGTGTTATGGGGTAAGGAATCTGATGACAGATTCTTATGTGATAGTTAGAATCTGAACTAGTGCGCAAAAGTCAACGGGGAATAGAGTTATCAGACATTGTAGCTAGAGTATCTTATAACACGTTTATACAACACAGGTTTCTGTCATCTCAGTCATTCGTAAAATAATGAAATCATGTCACA